TTTTTTTTTTTTTTGAGCTTAGAATCCTGGGAGGTTTGATTTAAAATTAGGTGTTAAAATTTTCTTCTATCAGACCATTAAAATAGGCTTGCATTTGTTCTTTTATTTTGAAAAATAGTGGTTAAAAATGCCCTGTGAGTGAAATGAGAGGAGGGAATTGATATCCATATTTGTGGCTTTTAAGAAAGGGATTTCCGTCTGTCTGGTCACTCTGATTTGTGTCTGACTTGTGACAACCTTTGGGAATAGTTCTGAATTACTCCTTTTCATCTTCCTCAAAAAGTAGCCATCAAAGTACTAAAATGACAAGAGCTTCCTGTGACAGTGTTTATCTGATGTTCTGGCTCTGGCATCCCTCTAGAAGATGGTAGGGGACTGCAGCTTGCTTGACTTGTTTCCTACCCCCTCAAGACTTGTCTAGACAAAAAGGGGGAATAAAGTTTTTATCCCCTATTTTGGGCAGGGGAACCAAAGACACCTATAAAGCCTCAGACAACAAAGAAAATGGTTAGGAATGAGAAGACCAACTCTATACCAAATTTAAAAAAATCTATTTTATAAATGTTCACATTTATGAAATGTTCATTTTATTTTGGTCAAGTTACTATTATAAAATTTAACATATTTTCCCTCCCTCTTTGTAGGTACTGGTTTTGGATTAGGACTTGTTTTCTCACTTACCTTCTTTAAAAGTAAGTGTGACTCTTGCTCCCTTTTCAACATGCTGCCCTATTGGACATTGCCTTACTTTAGTGTATACGTATACATAGGGAACTTGTGAATGGCACACCTCCAGGGCTGCCAGTCCTTCCACATACAGGTTTACATAGGTCATCATAAAATGAGCTAGACAAGGAATATAGACTCAAAAGTGGTCAGCATGGGTTGGGCATCTCCAGAATCGCATGGGCATTGAGTCAGGGTGCCAGAGATCTTAAATATGATATCATCTTAAAAGCCTGTAGTTTATACCAGTGAGTCATCTGGCCAAATCTACATGTTCAGATATTTCTAATTAGTTATAATTTTGTCTAAGGAACTTGAAAATGAGAGTCCTGCTGGTAATAAAAACAACTGGGCCAGAAATACACATAGATTTTGGCCAGAAATTCTCCTAAGCAAAGGGCAAGCAATATCCCTTTCATTGTGGAAGAATTTCTGAAGTTTGGATATTGAATAGGAGCCTAAAGGGGTTACTTTGACCTTTTTGCACAAAGAAATGGTGGGAAATTCAAAATTGGAGAATTATAATTAACACTTAAGTACTGGCTTAAGTAAATGTCACAAATTACTATTACCAAAATATGTAAATATTGGTGAAATTCTTACATATTCTTTTTAAATTCAAGCACCTTACTGAAAAGTGGTGTTTCTGATTAGGTTAAGAAATTAGTTAAAATGAGCAAGTGGTTAGAACAGTTACAGAAAAGTTAAAAGGTTCAACTATGTCTACTGCTTGTGTATTGTATCACTGATTAATACCTCAAACCTTGTAGCATAGGTACTTAATAAGTATTTGCTAAATTATTAAGTTTACTAATAGATCCCCTCTCCCCATTTTTGGGTTGTTGATGAAACACTGACAAAAATGTATGGCATGTTATAGTCATCAATATGATGCATGTAGGATATTTATTGAACCCTAGTAAGCAAATTCAAGCCAGAGAAAAAGCTTTACCTTTTTTTAATGGCTCCCTATTGGGATTTTCCTTGTTCTGCTCACTAGGAAGAATGTGGCCATTAGCCTTTGGTTCTGGCATGGGATTGGGAATGGCCTACTCCAACTGTCAGCATGATTTCCAGGCTCCATATCTTCTACATGGAAAATATGTCAAAGTATGTACAGAATTGATATTTCTCTTTCTTTCAAACAAAAAAGAATTGTTTTTTTAAAATCTTTTTAAAATTTTGATATTGTTAATGTACAATTACTTGAACAACATTATGGTTATTAGACTCCCCCTATTATCAAGTTCCCCCCACATACCCCATTACAGTCACTGAAGAGTTTTCTCTTGAGTCCCTGAAGAATTCTTTAGAGTGTATGTAATTAATAAACTGTGTTGTGGCACCGCTGAGATCCTTGTTGCTCTTTGGCCTTTAGTGATGTTGATATCCACTTTGGTGCCTAAAGTCTCTCCCCTCCCCTCTATTTGAGATGCATGTGTGCATTCAGATATGTGTTTATATGTCAGCTGATTGAAATTGACAAACCTGCCTAAGAGTTTATCATCCAAAGTAGGTTTGTGTTAAGTATCTGTAAGTAGCACTTCTTTTCAAGATCTCAGAAGGTCCTATAAACATCTTACACATACTCAAGTTAAACCTAAAGGCTGCTGGAACACAGCCATTATTCTCTTTATTGAAGAGGGCAGGTTCTTGACTCTAAGTCCCACATGATTCTGCTGAGTCTTGTCTTCAGATGGACTTGTAATGATGTAGATAAGATGAAAAATTATAACATATACCCCAAGAGAGAAGGTAGTGTATGTCCTAGAGTTCGGGTGTGTAGCAGCCTTTCCCATTGCCTTACTTTAGGCGACTGCTTATCATGGGGTTTAAACGAAAGAATCTGGGAAGACTGGATGCTCACAAATAGACATGACCTTTCTTTTTGTATCCTCAGGGCTTGGAACAGCAAAGTAGGCACTCAAATGTAAAATGAATGAATGAAGAAATTGTATATTCTATTAGATGTGTTAGTGGCCTCAGGCTTACTAAGACATTACCTTTATAGCAACACAACCTTCAGTGAAGAACTTCGCATTCCCTGGATGTGTAGAATCATCTGCTTTCTAGGTTACCCTTGCACTAGAACCACTATGATCTGGGTAGCAGCGGAAGGCTGGTGGAAAAAGCGCAGGAGCCAAGAGACCTGGGTGTGAGTCCTGGGCATCGCTTGCTTCCTAAGTGATCTTGAGTTTTTCCGTTCTGAGATTCTTTTCTATCTATAAAATAAGAGTAATAATTTCTACCTACAGGGTTGTTGAGAATTAAATGTGAAGATGTTTTTAAGCTGTGAAATGCTATGTAAGTAGAAATGTTGGTTTTTATAGTGAGGCCAACCAAGAAAGGGTGATTGGCTTGTCCATTGTTCCAGCATAACAAGTAGAGCAGAAAATGTGGTACAAATGAGTGTCCCAGTTCTGGTCAAAAGCTGTAGCCACAAGGGTTACCACATCTCAGTGACAGTCTCCCACCACAGCTCAGTGGCCTCTATCTTAGAACCTGCTCAGACTGTCAGCTGCCTACCAACTGACCTATGTGTGCTTGGAGAAACAATGGGGCTCAGGGAGAGCTGTTCAGCCAGGAGGCCTGGCAGGCCTTTGGCCACCCTCCTATTGGGTGAACCATCTCTGTGCCAACGCCCGAGTGAGGTCATCAGAGGGACAGTGCAAGAAGGGGTGCAGCTGCATGGCACCAGAGCTGGTGATGGGCAGTTTCCACCACTCTCTGACTCTTCACTCTTGGTACTACAGCTGAATTTTGGGGAGAACAGAAGCGAACAGGGAGAGGAACTTCAGGTCTCCTAATTGTTTAAAATGTTTTCATTGTTCCAAACTAAACTGAGTTGTCATGGATAATGGCTTAGGGGTGATTATATGCCTATTGTGTATTTAATGGCTGGGAGTTACTGTGGAAAAAATTGTACATTTTTACAGCCTTGTGTATACTGCTCCAAATGGCCTTGTAACTTTATCTGAACTTGAGTCTTTGCCTCGATGTTGTCATCCTCCCTTCTCTGGAAAAAGGAGCAAAACCCCAGCTTGGGACTTTTCAGTGTTGTCAGATTATTATGGTAATTGCTTGTTGAGTGCCTGCTGTGCCTTGCGGACCATCCTAGGGGTTTGATCTTGGAATTCTTTCTCTAGACCTCCCTCCAGATAGATGTGTGAGAGAGGTTTTAGAGTCCTCATTCAGCAGATGAATGGATCTTTCTGATGTTAAGAAACTTGCCCAAGATCACATCATCAGTAGGCTTTGATTCCAGAGCCATGCTCTTTCTGCTCATCTGTGACCCACCCCTTGATGGGCTTTAGGAATATAGTCATCCAGGGACTGATGGCTTAGCCCTGTTCTGCTCCTTTCCCATTCTCTTCCCTCAAAGATTAGGGAGCCACACTTAACCTGGACGGAATGTATACAGTCTTCTTGTGGAAAGAAACTGGGTAAGATTTTGGGCCTGTTGGTCCCTTGGGTTTGACCAGCAGCAAGTTGGAGAGAGTTGTCAAAATGCCATCTGCACAGCTCTAACCTGAGTGTCCTTACTTTCTTTACAGGAGCAGGAGCAATGACTTAACACTTGAGAACATCCCAGTGGGAAGAAAAGAGAAATCATGTTTATTCCTCAGGAATACTGAAGTGCCCTGGAGTAAGCTGACATTCTTCTGTAACAATGTTATCAGTAATGCTTTAAACTCCAGCATACCCTTTATGTATTTGAAATCAAGTCTGTTTCTTGTTTTGTATTTTCTCTGTGGAAATTGCAAGGAGGCAGTCTTAAAAGAAATAAACAGAAAGAGGCAGCCTGGTGCATTGCCTGTGTCTCTTTGCCTTTGGTCCCCGAGCATCAGGAAGACTACATTGGAACTGCCAGCAGCTGTCACCAGCTGGTCCCAGACCCTTTGAGAGCCTTCCTGAAACCACAGCCCTTGTGCATCCTCCCCACTTGCCCCGTGATGTGTAGTTTTCAGAGCTGCTTCCACCCATAAATGGGGGTGTGGAGGTTGCTGCCTGCATTGTTTGAGGAAGATGGCAATGTCAGAGGAGCCTTGCTGTGCTGTGGCAGCTCTTTAAGAGCTCTGTGCTGTCCTCAGCAGTGGGCCTGGGCAGGGCAAAATCCAGCTGTGCCTGTGCCTTGAGGTCCAATAGCTGGCTGTATTGACAGGGTATGGGACCTGACCCTGGTGATGGCTTCCTCCATTGATGTCACGGTTTCCTGCAGCTTCATGGAGCTTAACAGTCCAGGCTTCAGCCCTGGGGACTTTGTTCTGGAGGTTGGGGAGAGCTTGTGGCTTATCCTTCTGGCTCGAAAGCGAGGATTGATTTTATCCTTTCATAGCGGCTGAAGTTTGTGGACGAAAGGGCCACTTTTAATGCCCCTTTGTGAGTTTATTCCTTTGGCTTCACTTGAACCACTGGACACAAAGGTAGTATTGTAGCAATTGCTTCTGAGGAAGTATCGAACCCTGGAGCTCAGTCATTCATATCTTACTTCTCTCTCTTTATAATAGAATTAAGATGAGCAGAACTTGATTTCACTTGTCCCATTATCCTGTAAATGTTGATTGAGTATCTGCTATGGGCTCAGACACTGTTAGAGGCCAGAGAGAAACTCATGAAAAGACACAAGCCCCTGCCCTCAAGGAGCTTAGCATCTGTAGGAAAGACAGATGTGCAAATTCTTTTGGCACTGGAAGAAGAGGGGTATAGACAAAGTACAGTGAGAACAAAGGAGAAGGAGCAGCTGAGTCACCTTAGCATGGCCTGGCTGAGGAAGAAGTCGCATGGGCTGAGCCTTGAAGTTGACTTGGACATTCCAGACATATAAGGAAGGAAGCTAGAGTGAAGGCCCTTCGAATCATGGCAGTGCACATAACAGTTGGGAAACTACAAGGAGGCCAGGATAGCCAGAGTGTGCAGGGGCAAGGAGAGCGTGAAGGGGTGAGGCTGGGTACCTCGGCAGAGCTTGTGAGTGTCTGACCCTAGTTCTGGAACATTAATTAGACAATTCTTGCAAGTGTTACAAGGAGTAGATTCAGGGTAGATATATACCCTCAACTTTTACCCCTCGTCGTTTCCAGAAAGATGTGCTAAGCTCTGGACCAGAGCAGGGAGCAGTGGCTCTCTGCCCTGCAAACTGTGCAGGCTCTTCTGCTTTCTGGGCTTTTTGTTTACTTGAATCAGTTAAAGCCCAAAGGTGGGCCTGAGCCCAGGACTCTAGGTCGTAGCTATGGCCTGCCCTAGCCAGTCTGCTGTTTTTCACTTTGCCCTCTTCATTCCATGATCAAGACAAACCATGTAATTAAAAGGAAAATAACCCTACAACCTGTTTCATTCCTTCTACTAGCCTTCTACATATTTACTTTAAAAGTTAAATGTCTCCCCCCAATTTTTCCATCTTTATTCAGGCAGAAAGAAGAATAACAGGTCCCCTTCCAAAAAAGACAAAAACAGAGAACGCTACATGCCCAGTAATTCTCTAGACAAGTCAGAAGAATATGGAGTGGAAGTGGACACTGGGATCAGGTTTTCTTTCTCATTAGTTACTAGGTTTTAGGCATTTTTTTGGATGGATCCCTTTGCCCAGCATCTTTGAAACACCACTTAGTGTTTTGAGAAACTGGTCAGGCTCAGTGAGGGAATGTTCTGGGCAAAGGCCAGCCAAAGGAAGCATTGGCTGTTTGCTTTAATTCCAGAGTACTTTGTATTCCTGCCTTGTAGCTCCTAGCAGAGACTGGCCCAAAGCACAATGCCCCATCTTGTCCCCACTCCCTGCCCCCATCTCAAATCAACCTTCAGAAAGTTCCCGCTGGTTGGCAAAGGCACACATTTCTGTTCTACTTTAAGTTTTGTTAGAAATTCAAGTCCTCTGGGGCCCTGTTCCCTTGTGGGGTTGTGAAATTTTGACTTTGCTTCTTGTCTGCCCTTCTGGAACCAAATACAAGGAAATTCATGGGTTTAGGGAGAGAGTGATGGGAACCCAACTGGGCACAGGGTGCTAGGATAGAGCTGTGGCGCCCCAAAAATGGCCTGCTCTGCCAACATATATAAATACATACAGTCTGAGCTTGACACTGTGTAATTTGCCCAGAACAATACATATTTTGAAGTCATTTAGGTGAGTGACTTTGGCATTCACAGTACCCAGTGGGTGAGCCTCTATCAGGCTGCATCTGCCTGATGTGGAGGTGGCCGTTGTCCTGGAGGACGTCTCAGAACCCACGCTGTGGGGCTGTCTCCTTCCGTGAGTGTCATCCTCTCACCCGTTTCAAAGGAGCCAAGGGTGCAGTCTTGAAATCCTGCTCTTAGGAAATGCAGAGATTAGCAATGAAGACAGTGTCTATGTCGTTTTGCTTTTTCAGTTTTTCCAAACCTCAGTGTTTACATTTTTTTTAAATGTAACCAAGCCATAATTACATTTTACTTGTCATGGTTCAATCTGATTGTATTGTTGAAAGACTATTTTTGAGCCTGTCCAAATAAACTCTGCAAAGTATTTCCACAAGGATGAACTTCACGGGGCAGAAACAGCCTCCATCCTCAGTGGTCCTGAGACAGTTGGTTTTCTGCTGCATGCTTCCTGATGACATAAATGCCAAGGGGTGGAAGGGAGAAAGTGGAAAGTCTAAGTCCCAAAAGGAATTGTAAATGTAGAATAACAAGCTCATCTGGAAGCCATCTCCACTTTTCTCTGTAAGTGTGCTCCAAACACCACTCCTCTTGGACACCAAAGGGCGATGTAGGGCAGGAACAGGGCAGAGGCACCCGCTCTCCCTGGGCAGCCTCTGGTGAAACAAGTGTGAGAGTCGGTAGTAACTGTTACAGCGGGAGAGTGCCTTGAAGGAAGAGGAAGGACGGGACCAAGGGGACAAGCAAGGCTATACAGAGGAGAGGGCGGGGGTTTCAGGTCAAGGACCTGGGTCCAAGTTCCTACTCTGCTACTTGCTTGCCATATGACCCGGTGGGTAGCGCTTCTCAACCTCTTCAAACATCAGGTTCCTCATCTGTAAAGGGAGGAAAAATAATTTCTGCTTTATAGGCTTTGAGGGTCAACTATATGTGCTAAAGCAAGTATTAAAAAGAGGTTGTTGCTGTTTGAATTAGAATAGAGTGCATGGTATTAATGGGAGTTGGGACTGTCCCAGAACAGAAAGTGCATAAACCTTGCACTTGTGGAATTGACCCCAAGAGTCTAACTTAGAAAGATCTGAGGGAGAGAATGGGTGCCTCGAATGAGTTCCTGGTAATAAGAAACCTAACACTGTTAGAAAACACTGTGCTTCCTCATGAGTATTAATGTCATTTGTTTTGACTACTTCATTGAGGTACACACCAGTAAAGCCATGGTGGCTTTTCTCCTGAAACTGCACTTAGCTTTTTTAAAAATCAGAGTTGTTTACTGAGAACACAGTCTCAGTGCTAGGCTAAGAAGGGGTTGGGGAAGAGGACACTGGAGTAGAATGGGAACCTGAGAACTCCTCAAGGAGCTTCCAGCATGGGAAGAAACAGGACTGTGACTGGAACATTAGCATTCAGGGTAATTGGCTTCAATTTTGTGATCCTCACTTAAGGAGTTCAGAGCTGGAAGATACCAGTGGGGAAGGCAATGTCAAGAATTCTTGGGGGAATTCAGGAGTGGGCAAGAGATGAGTCTTTGAGGGAAGAAACTGGAACTAGGAAAAGGAACTCATACCAGCTGTCAAGTCGTCTTTCTGGAGTCCTGGTCTAGCCAGTTTCAGCCAGGCAGGACTTTGTTTGATCACTTCCAGTGAACATCTAATAATAGTATTTATTGGGCACATACTTTGTGCCAGTTACTGTTCTAAGGCTTTGCATATACCATGATGCCTAATTTTTATAACAATCCTATGAGAGAAGTACTATTGTCTCCATTTTGTAGATGAAGGAACAGATTTTGAAAGGATAAATTAACTTTCCCAAGGGCAAGCAGCTAAGAAGTGATATAGGCAGGATTTTTACCTGATTCCAGAACATAGACTCTGAACTAACTGCTTATGCTGGCCAAAAGCTGTTTAAACTGGAAAGGGTCATTCAGAGGGATCTGATCCAGTTTAAACCTGATTTGACCACACTTGAACTAGTTGAAATTGGTCAGAGTGAGTTTCATTGGGTTTAAATGGATAAAAAAAAGTTGATCAAATTTGAAATCAGCTGTATCTATTTTTTTAAAATTCGTGTGTTTACTAACTAGAAACATGTAATTGCCAATAAGAGCGTCAGGTCAGTGTTACTGATGGGTTTTGCTCACTCTTACAAATGTAATAAAGCATCATGACATTTTATTGACCTATGCATTTTGAAAACTGACTCTTCAACTTGTTTTAAAAGATAATTTACAAACAGTAAAATGCACCCATTACTAGGTAGAAAATGAAAACACTTTATAATATATATTGGTAATGTTTACTAACTTTATATTTTGCTATTAAGTGGAAATATTTATTGTAACTTTTGATTTCAATGTAGTTTTACAGAGAAAAGTTGGAAAATAATACAAGGAACTCTTGTACACTTTACTCATTTTCACAAATTGTTCACATTTTCCTCATTTACTTTATCATTCTGTATGTGTATGTGTGTGTATAGATTTTTGAGCCATTTGAGAATAAGTTGGAGACATCATGCCCATTTACACCTAAATGCTTCAATATATATTTTCTAAGAGTAAGGATATTCTTTCATATAACCATAATAGTGCAGTTCTCAAAAGCAGGAAATTAACATTGATACAATAGTATTATCTAATCATCAGTACATGTTCGAGTTTTGTAAACTGTAAGTATATTATCT